TTCCAATAGACAAAACAAAATTTCTGATAACATTTTTTTTAAGGCTGGAATGGGCCAATCCGACTCTCTTCGATTCTAAATCTCTGATTGTAGTTGGACAACAAACTAAACCGTAGACAAAGCAAATTGATTGCTTTTAATTTGTCCTATTTGAAGACTTGACTAATTGAGGATTCTAATTTCAAATTATAAGACAACAACAGAAATACATATGTAAATTGTGGAGCAGCAAGAGATTCGTTTAAATTCTAAAATCAAGCATGTTACTTGGATTTTAGACTTTAAGAACTAAATAATTGAATTAGCTGCAGAATATGTCACTTATCACTTTGAAAGTTACACGTGGTTTTAATTGCATCATTCCATAAAGTAGTGAGGAACCGCATTTGAATTTTCCTAAACGTCTTCAATGGGTCTGTCATTTTCATTTTCATTTTCTTTTCACCTGCTTTCAATAGGCTGTCTAATCTTTGTAGGACTGGAGAGTTGGGCCGACTTGACTTAAAAATTTCAATAAATGTCGTTGTTTGACTTTACCTGTTTAGATAATTCCCAAATATGTGGTGGAAGCGTGAGCTTTATTTGGAATGTCAATTTTACAATATTTAATGGAGAATTTGATTTTTTATTTGAATAAAAATAAAAATAAAAATCATACTATAAATATAGAAATGAAAATGTATATAATTTTAAATTTTTATTAGGTACAAAAATATAATATCTACATATATATTTATATATTTAGTATATCTATTTTTTATTAAATAATATAAAGTTTTATTCTGGATTAATTAAAATTAATATATTTTATTAAAAAATATATATTAATATATATTTATAAATAATTACCTAAATATACAAGATAAAAATTTAAAAAAAACAATTTTTTGTTTTTTGTTTTTCTTTTTTAAGTTTTGAGTATGAAAATTAATCATATTCATTAAATATAAGTGGGGATAAGAATAAGGAAACAATTTGCTTTTATTTCGACGAATGGCTCTTAATGTTATGTTTGGATAAATATTAATAAAAAAAAAATTTTAAAAGAAAATAAAGAATACATATAACATTTATTTGGATAATTAAAATTAATAAAGAAAAGAAAAGAAAAGAAATTTTAATAATCATTTTTTGGATAAAAAGTGAAAAAGAAAGGAAATGATTTATTATAATAATTTTTTTCAATTATAACCTTTCATTCTTGTAATTTTAAGGCACTCTTGGATTATGATATGTCTATTCATATTCAATAATTCATCAAAATCAAATAATTAAAAAATTATAAAAAAATTTTCTATTGGAAGAGATATGTAAAACTCATTTAGAAAAAATAGACGATTTTAAAAAAATTACAAGATAATTGTGATCTGCTTAAGTTTTTTATTAGGCTTTTAGTATTAATAAAAATATGAATATAGTAATCTTCTTATAAATTTTTTTTTTAACTTTCCTTTTCTTAGCTTTTTCTCTAAATTAAAGTATTAAAAAATTTGAGTTTATAAGAAAAATCAAAAGTTATTTGGTTTCTACCTTATTTTTTTTCTTTCAATTAAAAATTTATCCAAATAAAGAGATGGGTGTTTTGTTTTCATTACTTCCCCTTACTTTTACTTTTCTTTCATTTCTCTCCCCTCAATCCAAACACACTATAAGATATTGTACACGTTCTTATCAAGGAATTCAGTTTGAGTCGCCAAGCCAGCTTTAGCTGGGCTAAACCATCGAGTTCTGGAGCTCCAATGCAAAAACAAAGCGCTATATATAACAATGTGATTGAATTGGAAAAGAAGGAATTTTTCGGTAAAGATGTAGTACCTCGTCATCTAACTTATATTTGATAAACTTGAGCTAATTAAAGAGCCATTCTAATAAATTTTACTTTTAAAAACTATTTTAATGTTAATGTAAACAGTAACTTTTTTTTTTTTGGTTTTTCATTATTTTTAAATTGATAGCCATTAAAAATTGAATAAGAATGATAGTTACTCCAACATATTAATGTCTTTTTTTATATATAGTTGAATTTTAATCATTGAAATTAGGAGTCCAATACTCTATCAAAATTATATGGCTTTTGACCCATCAAATTAATGTCTCCTTTAAAAAATCAAACAAAAACCATCATTATTTCAAATTCTTGAGGCATTTGTTCCGTGACAAGGAGATCTTTATATTTTAAAATTCAAATTTCCTTATATGTGAATTTAATTTAATGTTACGTTGATTTTATTCAATTATTACTTATTTGTTTATTTGATATTATGTGTTTTTTTTATGTACATTTAATTATAATTATAATTTCATTTTTATAAATAATTTCATAAAAAAAATCATTGCTTTCCTTTATTAGCCTTAAGTATAATTACCACACACTTTCTTTTTTTTGTAATTAAGATTAATTTTTTGAAGGCAATTAATAATCAATGAGTAGGATAAAACATTAACTTGAAATTTCTTAACTTTTGGAACAAAATCAAAATCAAACTATATATATGTGGGAAGGAAAGAATATTAAAGTTGTAATCTACTTGACGATCCCTCTTTTTGACTTTTTTATTTACTGCTGATATAGAGGGGTTAGCGTGCAATAAAATAAATTTGATAGTTTTCAGTTATTTGATTTAATAATTAAAAATTTTTTAGAAATACATGTAAGATGAGAATTTGAATTTTACTATCCTCATCCCCTTTTCAATAGACAAAACAAAATTTCTGATAATATATTTTTTTAAGGCTGGAATGAGTCAATCCGATTCTCTTCGATTCTAAATCTCTGATTGTAGTTGGACAAGAAACAGAAGATTGGATCGTTTAGCACGACATGGAATAATTCTTGCAAACCAAGAGGCAGGCATTGGACGTTAATTACGCCACTAGTGCTGTCTAGGTACACGGTATTTTCAGCCATTATCATTGTTAATATTGATAAAGGATTAATTTCTATCAACATAACCGTAGACAAAATAAATTGATTGCTTTTAATTTGTCCTATTTGAAGACTTGACTAATTGAGGATCCTAATTTCTACTTATAAGACAATAACAAAATTACATTTGTAAATTGTGGAGCAGCAAGAGATTTGTTTAAATTCTAAAATCAAGCATGTTACTTAGAATTTGGACTTTAAGAACCAAATAATTGAATTAGCTGCAGAATATGTCACTTACCACTTTGAAAGAAGTAGACGTGGCTTTAATTACATCATTCCATACAGTGGTGAGGGACCGCATTTGAATTTTCCTAAACGTCTTCAATGGGTCTTTCGTTTTCATTTTCATTTTCTACCCGTTTCCAATAGGCTGTCTAATCTTTGTAGGACTGGCGAGTTGAGACGACTTAACTTAAAAATTCCAATTAACGTCATTTATGATATTTGACTTTACTAGTTTAAATAATTTCCAAATATATGGTGAAAACAGGAGTTCCATTGATTCGACAAAGGCAAGATGAAGAATGAAAGAAAAAAAAAAAAGAATGTCCCTAAGAACTTAAAAATGTTACTTATTATGTATTATCAATAGATTAATATTTATTACGATTCAGTTCCATTCTCATTAGATTATATATTGTCAAATTCAACATTTTTCCCAATATGACTTACATAAATATCATCTTCTTTTGAAAAAGAAATTTTATTTTACATGACAACTTGAGTATCTCAAACACTTCCTTTTTCCTTAAATCCCTCATGCTTGTTAAAAGTTGGATTAACCCATGCCTTTCTTTTTTTTTTTTTTAGCCAAATTCAACCCATGCCTTTAATCTGCACAATTTTCCTTGGTCAGTGTTTGTAGTTCATCAACTTCTTCAAATAAAAAAGATTAAAGTAAAACTGAAAACAAAAAATCAAAATTGATAGTATATATATTAATAGAGTTAAATGAGCATATTAACCATTTGTAAAGATTAGTTTTTTTTTTTTTTTGTGAAATTACTCAAATACTAGGAAAAATTAAACCATCATCAAATATTACATTTTAATTATATACAAATTTATTGAAATAAATCAAATAGACAAATCAATCAACAAGATAAAATATCACCATATATCTATATATGTGTCTGTGTGTGTGTGTGTGTGGGTTTGGTTTAATTTTATATTGATTTTTTAAATTATGTACTGATTTATCAGTTGATTTGTTTGTTTGATTATTAAATGACTATATATATATATATTATGTAACATTTGATTATAATTGTAATTTTTTTTCTTAATAATTTTATAAAAATCATCATTTCTTTCCTTTATTTACCTTCACTATAATTATCACTCACTTTCTTATTTTTTTTAAAATTAATATTAATTTTGTAAAGAAAATTTATAATCAATGAATGGATAAAACATTAACTTGAAATTTCTTAAATTTTGGTACAAAATCAAAATTAAACTATATATATACAAGGAGGAAGTAATATTAAAAATGGTCTACTTGATGATCCCTCTTTTTAACTTTTTTTTCTAAAAAAAAGGTTTTTACTTATATATGATTTAGAGGGGCTAGTGTACAAATCTAACATCAAAAAAATTTCTGATAATATTTTTTTGGAAGACTTGGGTGGGACAACAAACAAAGACTGAACCGTTTAGCACGACATGGATTAATTCTTCCACTCTAAGGGGCAGGCATGGGATCTCAATTACTCTAATGCTGTCTAAATACACGTAACTTTCAGCCATTATCATTTTTAATATTGATAAAGGATTGATTTCTATCAACATAACTTAACAGTAGACCAATCTAATTAATTGCTTTTAATTGTCCTAATTGAAGACTTGACTAATAGAGAATCCTAATTTCTACTTATAAGACAACAACAGAAAATGGCACGAGGACGACTTTTGATCATTTTTGTGTTCAATACTTCTAAACGCAAATGTCACTGACACATACGCATATTGCATGCATCAAATAAATTCATGGAATGATCATATTTGTCTATAAAAGCGGTGGCCTTTTGAAACCTTTCAATACAAAAAAAAAATTGTTCAGCTAATTATTATGGGGCCGTTATTACTTTGCTCTCTGCTAAAATGCTTACTCTTTGTGATCCTCCCTCATTTTCCTACTCAATTTGTTTCTTCTATGCAGCGACCTTGTCTGGATTTTGAACGCTCTGCGTTGTTGCAGTTGAAGGAAAGCTTCATTCTCAACCAATCTGCTTCTTCTTATCCTTTGGCTTATCTGAAGGTTGGTTCATGGAAACTTGAAGGACAAGGGGATTGCTGCTCTTGGGATGGCGTTGAGTGTGATGACAACACCGGTCACGTTATTGGACTTGATCTAAGCAGCAGCTTTCTTTATGGTTCTATCGACTCCAACAGCAGCCTTTTCCACGTCCATCACCTTAGAAGGCTCAATCTTTCAGACAATGACTTCAATTACTCTAAAATTCCTTCTGCAATTGGGAATCTTTCAAGGCTATCACATTTGGACCTCTCTTTTTCCTGCTTTTCGGGTCAAATTCCTTCACAAGTTCTAGAGCTCCCGAAGTTGGTGATACTTGATCTCTCAGCGAATACTCGATTAGAACTCCAAAATCCAAGCCTGAAAAGTCTAGCTGAGAAGCTAGTCAACCTCAAGTATCTTAATATTGATGAGGTAAACGCATCTTCAACAATTCCTCAAAGTTTGGCAAATTTATCTTATTTGACATATCTCTCTCTCCGGAATTGTGAATTGCGTGGTGAATTTCCTACTGAAGTTTTTCAACTACCCAATCTTCAGTATTTAAGGGTATCCTACAATCCATCTCTCACGGGGCGTTTACCAGAATTTCACAAAAATAGTTCCATCGAATCATTGAAACTCACCAATACAGGTTTCTCTGGTGAGCTACCAAAATCAATTGGGAATCTTAAGTCATTATCATTTTTGAGTGTTGGTGACTGCCATTTGTCCGGACCAATTCCCTCAGCCATGGCTAACCTTAGCCAGCTCAATTACCTCTCACTTAACCACAATGGGTTTAGCCCTGGCAATTTGCCTTGGCTTGGTAAGCTAACAAAACTCACGCAGTTGGATGTACGATCTACAAACTCACATGGTGACATCCTATTTTCCCTAAAAAACCTTACCCAGCTTATTAGTGTTTACCTTTACCATAATCAGTTTTCCAACCGAATCCCATCATGGTTAGGAAATCTTACTCAACTAAAATATTTGGACCTGGGTGTAAATAAATTTTGGGGTCCGATTCCAGAATCAATCTTTACTCTAGTGAATCTCAAATATCTTGCTTTAGATTATAATCACCTGAGCGGCACCATCAAGTTTGAATCCTTTCTAAATCTTAAAAATCTCAAGAAACTCCAACTGTCTGGTAATAATTTTTCATTACTCACCACCATAACCTTTATGAATGTTACTGTTCCAAAGTTCAAATTGTTAACATTGAGTTCATGCAACTTATTTGAGTTCCCAGATTTTCTTTTAGGTCAGGATGAACTGGCGTATCTGGATCTTTCTGGAAACAAAATCGATGGGCTTATCCCCAAATGGATATGGGGCTTTTGTGCCCAAACTCTTGAACTTTTAGACTTGAGTGGAAACTTTCTTACAGGTTTCCACCAACCTTCGGTTGTTCCTCCATGGACCAATCTAAGATTTTTGGACCTTCGTTTTAACAAGCTACGAGGATCCCTTCCAATTCCATCCGCTTCCATTTACCAACACTTCGTCTCAAACAACTTACTGTCAGGAGAAGTCTCATCAATGATCTGCAATCTGACTTTTATAACTATTCTTGACTTGTCAAATAACAGCTTTAGCGGCATGCTTCCACCATGTTTGGACAATCTAAGCAAGTCAGTTTGGGTACTGAATCTACGAAACAACTTTTTTCGAGGGCCTATTCCTGCAGTATGTGAAAAAGGAAGCAAATTGAGGATGATTGACCTTAGCCAAAACCAGTTGAATGGACATATCCCAAGATCACTGGTTAATTGTACAATGCTAGAGATTCTTAATTTGGGAAATAATCAAATAGAGGGTACATTTCCCTCTTCGTTGGGAAAGCTTCCAGAGTTAAAGGTTCTCACACTAAGGCATAATGGATTTCATGGTGCCAATTGGAAAACCAAAAACCAAAGAGTTTCCCAAGTTGCGAATCTTTGATCTCTCCTTCAATGAATTTATTGGTCATTTGCCATCTCGGCATTTCCCAATATGGGAGGCCATGAAAGTTCTTGATGTTGGCAAGTTAAAGTACTTGGAGGCAAACACCAGTTTTGTAGTACCAGGCATCAACTGGTATGATAGCTTTCCGTACTCAATGACAATGACAAACAAAGGCATGGAGAGAAAATACTATAGGATTCAAGAATTCTTAGTAGCCATTGATCTCTCAAGCAATAGATTTGAAGGTTGTATTCCGGAAAACATTCAGGTTCTAAAGGCAATTCAATTCCTCAACCTTTCCAACAACCTTCTTTCGGTCCAATTCCATCATCATTGGTCAATCTAACGGAACTTCAATCTTTGGACCTTTCTCAGAACAAGCTCTCAGGAGAGATCCCTCAGGAGCTCGTGGAGCTCACTTTCCTTGAAGTTTTTAATGTCTCTAACAATCGGCTGATAGGACCCATACCACAAGGAAAACAATTTGCTACGTTCGAAAACAACTCATTTGAGGGCAACCCAGGATTATGTGGGAATCCTTTGTCAAAGAAATGCTATTCCGAGGGCTCATCACCACCACCGCCTTCATTGTCAAAGAAAGATAGAGGCGGCGGGTCTTGGCTTGAATTTGGTTGGAAGGTTGTCCTGTTGGGGTTTGGAAGCGGGCTAGTGAACGGACTGGTTCTTGGGTACTCCTTCAACCCAATGAAACACAAGTGGTTTGTCAAGTACTTTGGGAGGAAGCAGCAGAATCGGAGGGGCAGAAATTAACTTAATGCTTAATTTTCAGGCAGTACGCATAGATTTCATTGTTATGTTATACATTGATTGGACTATTTCTTTCTTTTTTTTCTTTTTCTTTTTTTTCTGTTGCCTTTCCCTTGGCTATGAGCTATGATCAGTGGTCAGGTACAAGTGTTAATGAAATAACAATGTAAACCAATGTGGTTTAATCCTTCTTTCCGGTGTTAATAAATTAAGACTACTTTGAGGCAAAAAAGAATTAAGATTAATGTGCACAATGTCGTGGTAGTATTATGTAAGTGAGGTGGAATCAAGTCCTAATCCTCACAAAGTAGAAGGACAAAAAGGGAAAACGGAAAATGATTCGGGTTTTTTTTTTCTAGTTAAAATGTGGGAGATATCATTATTGAATGATGAGTATCTCCCACATTTTACCTGACAACAAAAATGTGGTATTGTACTCGAATTATTCTAGTTTCATAGTTTTTTTTATTTGATAAGTGTTAAAATTTTGATTATTAAAATTAAAAGTCTAACTCTTTATTATCGGATTATATCATTGATAGCAACAGTTTTTTTACCAAGTAGAAGAGATTTATTGGAAAATTCAAAAGGAATAAAAACGTTAAAGAGCTAGCTATAATCTTTTAAATAGTTAATTTTAATATTCAACAAGATTCAATTTTCAATACCTATAATCTTTTTTCTTATTATTAAGTTGCAGTTTTCTTTATACTAAAAAAAGAAATTAAGCACTTCAATTATTGCAACTGAATTTAAAAAGAAATGCAACTTAAAGTTTTCACTGCATAAAGGTATATGCTACAAATAAAAATAAGGGTAGCTAAAACTCAAAATTTTTACAGTATTTAGGTGATCAAGTTAATCGTGTAATTTGATCATTGTAATATAGCTTTTGGATTGAGAAGGGTCAATGAAGAGCTGAGCTGATTCGTTTCCCTTTTAGCCTAGATCCTGAACAAGTTTTTTGGGGGGGATAATTGGTTGAGAGCAGGAAATCAATCTGCTACAAATAAATAAATACAAAAACAATAGGTTGTTAACAACCCCTTACATCAAATTTGACATCAGATATTCAACAATGCTAGTGCATTCATCAGTGTTGTGCTTTAGTACTGTTCAGTACTCAATTATAGCAGAGTTCAGCGCTCAATTATAGCAGAGTTCAGTGAACTAGTGAACCGTTGCTAATGAATGTAAATTAGAACTTCTAGAATTGAGAAAAATACATTGATTAATACTTCGCGAAAACCATATCATCGGTGTTCCGCAGCAATGTTCTTGAGGAGAAGATATGCATACGTTAAGCAAGCCAAGTTTCTTAAACTCTGCTCCTAGTTTCCTACATCTTTCTCTGTCTAATCTTGCCACAATTTCCTCGGTTAAAATCTGGGGCCTGGGCAATTAGCTATATTCCAAAATATTGAAATATTAATATTATAGCTGTTCAAAACACTGATGGTTGGAGATAATTTCATTTTCAACTATCACATGTATAAGAAAAATGTCATTTTTCTCACTGCTACTGAAGATTAGCAGTAACATGATGTTAGACAAATTCTAGTTTTAAATCTGCTTCACAACGTGGAAGACAAAATAATTCCATGATGCTTTAGAATTTTCCTTAATCCAATCTTTACAGTTAGATTTTGGTCTAAATCAAATAAATATTGCTCTTAATTTCTTAAACCCTAACCACTATATCTTGTCACATTAGTGCCCAACCAACCAAACATGATGAAGACTAGTCATATGATTAATTATTTCTTTCCCTTTCAAATTAAAAGTCTCTTCATAACCCATTCACCTTGTTTTGATGCTTAATTCTCTGGAAGCCTTGAGCAGAATTTGGGAAAGAAATTGGCTTGAAATTGAGTGAATAAAAAAAGGTGCTCCATGTCAGAGTTTATCAAACAGTAAAATTTTGTCGGTATATTAATATCACTTTGTAAGTTGGATTAGAAGTTTCCTACCAAAAGTAACCCATAAAACAAGGAAAGTCCAACCAAATCTCTTTAACCCTTTGGAAGAACAAACGCCCCAAAGAAAATTACAACCATTTGTAGCTTAAATCTTGAACCTATGAGTACTCCAGATTCCATGATGGATCACTTCAAGCTAAGAGAGCAGTTAGGGGAAAGATGTCATGTATAGAATTGATTTAGAAACCCTGCGGGCTGTAATTTCATTGTTTGTTTTTCCAGGTCCTATTCTGTTTACTATTTATCTGCTTGTTTGTTTTCTTTACATTGTTTTCCATTATTTAAATGTGCCTCTATGGATTCAATGCAATGATCCAATTTACTAACAAATATTACTACTTGATATATATGTCTCTTGACCTTGCTTATTACAAAAAAATTACATGCTTAATGGCATTAATGCAAATGGGTCCTTCCTGCAAAAACTACAGAGAGAACCTGGCCATATGGATACCTTCAAACAGATAAATTTGGTTTATATTTTTTTACTCTGGTTGAAAATGGGAATCGTTACCCAAACACAAGCCAAGAAATCTTCTTGGCCCAAATCTTGTAAATGACACAACTACCTAGATACCTTACACAAGAAGCAAGTAAACTACAACTAAGAAGCCAAAAGTATTTGTCCATTTGGCTATCCCTCTCTTTCTCTGTACCCTCTCTTTCTCTGTACTGCTAACCGTACTGACCCAATTTCAGTCTCTGCCCAGGTCACCAAATAGTTGAGTTCTTGCAAACCCAAGATTTACCCATCCAAGTCCAGTTTAAAATAAAATTAAAAGGGTGAAAATTTGAGTGAATGGTCAATTTTATGGTATATGTTTGTAATGAAGTTGTACAGTTTTGCAGAACATGCAGATGGATAAAATGATGAAAACTCTTATGTGGAAATGTTGACCAATTAGCCAATGTTTGTTGTTCTCTATTTTTCAATAAATGACTGAAACTGTGAAATTTTTGCGCACTTAACGGGTTTCTCCTTGTAATCTTGAAATCATCAAATTCCTCCCAGAAAGAATAGGGAACGGTGCCTGCTCAAATGAGTCCAACACAAGACAGAACAAGTCTCCCCATTAAAAACTCCCTAATATAATATTGGCGGGGTTAGGAACCCAGCCCCCACACCCTTTTTTCGCAGAGCAGAAGAAAAGCCCTATGTAAATCTAATGTAAATTTCAAGCCCTTTATCTTGATGATATTTTATTATTAAGCTTTCTGTCTCAAAGGGATTTGGGGGTTTCCTTTCTGGGCCAGAATCCAACCCCCAAAGGACAACCAAATAGTTGCCTCCTCACCTTGATCTCAGCGGTCTTCTTTTTGCTTTGGTTGTTTCCCACAGACTCATTATTATTATTTGAAGATCAAACATAAGATACTTTGATATGACCTTTTTTTGTGTCCAGTGAAAGAAGCTGTTTTCATACTTGGGTGCAGCTTAAAATGTCAAAGAAATTAAATACGCATTCATGCATATTTTTATAGCCAAGCTCCTCAATCACCAAAAATCTGGAATTTCAGTTAAATTTTTTTTTAATAACAGACAAATGAAGAGCAAGACAATGTGAATCTCACCACATCCCACTGCCTATATTCTAGTCCTCCAGAGCCAATAATTCTGAATTTGAACAGACCCTCTAGACCTAAAGTGACTTTGCAAAAGGATGAAGTGAAGGGCAACTAAGATAACAACAGGAAAATGTGTCAATGACTCAATATCAGGCAACAAAATTCTTTTGTTCTGCCTGTTGAAGAATAAAAAATTTCTTTTCTGGGTTCCAATCAGCTGCTTTGGATAGCAATTATAGTTATAGGTTACTTCCAGCGTTGTTAATTACATCTTGATTCTAAAATTAAACCTTCATATTTGATTCCAAATCAATAGCAGTAAGGGCTACAGTAGATATAGTAACTATAATAATTGCCTTTAAATTATTAAAATAAAAATAATAAAAAATATGATTTTAATGTGTGAAAAATATTATTTAAAGGCAATTATACTTACAAGATATAATAAATCATAAAACTCTATAAATCAAAATCAATGAAATTAGTTATATAGAAAGATCTATTTATAATAAACAAATAGTTACAAATTTCTATTAAAAAATTATGACAATATGTATAGTTATGGTTTTATATTCAAACAAATTTATTCAAAATAAAAATAATATTAATTTATTAATATTTCAAAATTTTAATAAGTGTCCAAAGATACAAAATCAGAATCAGTGAAATTAGTCATTTAGAAAT